AAGTATCGGTTTTTGTACTCGGTATCGGCAAGTACTCAGATCCAAGTATTGGTATCGTATCGGTTTGAAAAAATTGGTATCGTTGCATCCCTAGTTAGAATGAATGTTCATGTGAGAATGTGCTAAAGACAAATCTAATTGAGGTAGAATTACAGAAACTGAATGGAACATGAAACGAATTATATCCATATGTGATAGAATTTTTCTTAAATGATTATAGAGTTTTAACTTTGTGGTAAATCATGTAAGTCAGATAGATAGCAAAACGATGATAAAGTGATCAGCTGATTAGATGTTAATAATGTGATTGGATGTTTAGATGTCATCTCAGAAGATGTGACATCCAGTAGCAGAAGGTGGAGAATCGGTGAAGAAGAGACACAGGGTTCTTCCCTTTTGTCTTCTGTGAGATGAGAAGTTTGGCAGATTGGATCTAAGAAACCTGCAAAAATGGGTAAATCAGCACTGATGTCATTAATAAGAGTTAATTGGACACCGTCCCAGGCTGTACTTTGTATGTATTGTTGTTCTATGTTTAAATCTCCACAAACACAGACATGATGAGAACAAGAAAATAAAAGCAGCACTGTTGACATTAAATATTAATAATACTTCTACAAATCTTCTAGAATCTTCTATAAATGCCCAGTGGTGCCTAAAATTTCCCATAGCTCTCAGTAGCCTTGTTTAAAGTGTTTATTTAAACTTGAATTGCTTGACATTGTATGCCTACAAGCCAGCAAAGTTGAAATTTCTATTAATATTTCTCAAAAACTCATTCTACCGTATCTTGTGAAGAGTTAGATGACAAACAAAGATCAGTGCTGCCAATTCATTATATGGCCAGATTTGAAATATGGTCATAATTTCTCCTGTTTCTGCCTGAGATATGACCACTCCAATGAAAAGACGAATTAGAGGCTCTGTCTGTGCTGGAAAATTCCAAAGTCTACTCCCTTGGTAACGGTTACCATGGTCACTGCGGCAGAGGAAGCAGTATGCGATTACAGCTTCCTTATTAGGGGTCAAAGTTCATACGAATTACAGTAAAACCAGCTGTGTCTTATCCTTAAGACAGTAGTGCATGATGAGATACTGTTAAATAAGAGGTCAGATAGTTGTAAGCAGCCAGTGCACAGACTATAGTTTAGTCTTTCATAGTTCCAGCAGCTTTACACTGATACAGATATTTTGAGATATGACATCAGGCAGACATGTAAACGCATACTGTGCAGAATTGTACAGAATTGCCTTTCTGCATAGAGAGCGACTAATCTAGTGTTACATCAATGATTTTTGTGCAACTATTTTTCCTTCCAAACCTACTGAAGGAAAGGAGGACACCAAATCAGCAAGCTTGTACAGTCTCCATGTGGGAAGTAATACTGAATTCTGGCATTAAAACTCCCCTATATATGTGCTAGAAATATCCAGCGTGAAAATGAATAGAGTAGATAGCTGACTCATTGACACTCACACCAAAGACAAGCATTCACATCTTACTCCAATCTTTGGTTTAGCCAACAAATCTTAAAAATAATAAGCACTAATTATCTTGCTTCCCTTTTGATGTATGAGAAAATCATGTATGCCAAGTATCCTTGGACAAGATACCAACCCCAATTTGTTCTCCACCAGAGTGTGAATGTTAGACAGAAAGCACTTAAGCATTAAAAAAGGTGACATGGATGAAGGGCTTTGATAGACTGCTCAAGTAGAGCAGAAGAAGTGCTACATAAGAGCCAGTTCATTTAGCATTTATTAAACCCACGCCTTAAATATATGCCACTTATGACACGTACAGAGAAAGTTCAAATGTTTTTTCTGCTTTTTGATTCCAAAGTCTTCCTAATACTTGTTCCATGGCACATGTTTGTATTATTACACCTGGCACAAACAGAAAAACATCCTGATCATATCACATTGTACATATGTTAGAGCCTGTGAAGGTATATTTAATGCAGGGAACTCAACTTGCCAACAATACACAGGTAGTTTTCTGATCACATTCACCCAATTTGAGGCAATGAGGCATACAAAACTGTGGCATAACATAACCATATTCGCTTCTTTTTTTGTGTCTTTTTAAATACCCTGTGTGAGTACAAGAAAACAATTATTAGAATATAATGTACAAAACTGTTGTCATGAAACGCTGTGTGGCAGGCAGGAGATGAGGACTCAAAGTGCAGGACTCACAGACTCAGGGGATGAACTCAAAATCACAGCTTTATTTGCTGGTCACAGAAAAACGAGCATACAATGAACTAAAACTCACAGGGAGATCCACACAGCAAGAGGGACGACACAGACTCAGAGAAACACAGGGTTTAAATACACCGGGAAGTAACGAGGGGAATGAGACACAGAAGGAGAGCACAGCTGGGAGAAATCAGACCTGACAAACTAGACTAGGGGAG